TTGGCTTTACCAATACTATCTATGCAATCATCTAATCTAGGTTTGGGAAAATTGTCATCTACAGTCGTTACATTTAGTTGTCTGTAATCAATGACCAACCTGTGAGTTCCATCTTTCTTTGGAACCAAAATACACGGACTACATCAACTGCTGCTTCTAGGTCTCACTAATCCATGTTGGAGCATGTAGTCAACTTCATTCCGGATGAGATTCAGCTTTGCAGAGTTGACTCTATATGGATGTGACTTGACTGGTTGGTTGTCTCACCTCGATGTCATGGTGAATAACTGTATTCTGAGTGGGAATATCGCCAAATATGTCAGCCTGAAAAGTCAGCAATTGCTCCAAATCCTGCTTCTGCTCTGATGACAAATGCTCACCAACTTCTGGATGCTAGACAACCACTCCTCCTTGCTAAGATAAGGTACATGAGCATTAGGTACATTATCAAAATCACATTCCCCATTATTCTCGTCCACATGGGTTACACTAAACACCTGGTTGGTATTGGTAATTCCTTTCTGTGTTAATTTCATTCTGTTTGCATGTACTACTTGTTCCTTTCTCTTGAGATCAGGTGTCCGGAATACATAATTGGTGCAACTGAGTTTCTTTATCACTGTATAGGGACCTTGGAACCTATGCAACAATGTTGGTCCCTGTCGTGCCATTAGCACTACCACTTTATCACCTGCCTCAAAATGTTGGTGCTTTGTCTTTTTATCACATTGTACTTTCATTTTGCCTTGAGCTTCTTTAAGATGAATCAAGGCTTTAGTCCTGTTTTTGTTTAACTTGTCTTGTAATTTATCAACATAATTTACCTGCACATCACTTTTTGGACTTCCAACCATTTTATCTCTCAAGATGATTAGTGGACTTTTCACCTCATGGCCAAAAACTAGTGAATTGAGTGAACACCCCAGGGACTCCTGATAAGTATCCCTCAATGCCATGAGCATCAGTGGAAGACCATCATCCCAGTCTCTGCCAGTTTCCATGCAACTGGTTCTCAGCATCTGTTTAAGGGTTTGGTGCATCCTTTCCAAAGCACCTTGGCTCTCAGGATGGTAAGTAGTGGATGTCTTATGGAGGATACCAAACTCCCCACAAAACTGCTGAAAACCTTTGGAAGTGAAATTTGCCCCATTATCTGTCTGTATTACTTTTGGTAGACCAAAAATAGTGCAAAAGTTCATTATGTGCCTTACTACCACTTTCGTCGTAGCATTTTTCACAGGAAGTGCCTCAGGAAAGCGTGTAATTTGACACATTATGGTGGTGATATACAAATTACCACTCTTGGTTCTAAGTAAGGGGCCTACAACATAAACAATAATATGAGTAAAGGATTCTTCAGCCATCACAATTAGCTGTAAATGGGCTTTTGGTCTCTAACAAATCTTGTTTGGTTTGCCAGTTTTTACGCATGCAAGATTTCTTTACGCATTTCTTTAATCCAGGCCAGGTAAAATACTTGCTTATTTTATTATGTTTTTGCAATACCCTTATAACCGCCTATTGGTGAATCATGGGCTACACTTAGCACTTTTTCTCTATAACCCCTCGGTAGGACTACTTGATTAACTACCTCCCAAGTGTGTGACACAGGTGAGCTCCTAGGTTTCCACTTCCGCATCAACACCTCTTTAGTGTAGTAATAAGTCATAGCCTCCGATTCTGCCTCTAATTCAGTTACTGCCTTATTATGCAAGTCGGTCAACGTAGGATCAGTTCTTTACTGATAAATAAACAAATTTTAAGTGTCACAAAGATCCACTTCACAATTTGACCTTTTAACCTTTTTTTTTTTTAGTCTCCTGACTTGCATTATTGGAAGTTTCTAATAATTGAGATTTTGACTGGGTCACGGCACATGCTGGGTACATTACTTTATCCTCAGAATCTGCCCGTGCCCCAATCACCTCGGGCTTAGTTAGCATTATTGGGTGGTCATCTCTTTTTTAACTATATCACCAGCAAGATCATTCCCCACAATTAGATCAACGCCAGCAACTGGTAATTTAGGACTAACACCTACTAAACTTTTGCCTTTAATATAATCACACTCAAGGTTTACTTCCCTGAAGGGTATAGTCTTGAAATCTCAAGTGATTCCCTGTATAATTATTACCTCCCCAGTCTCTGTAGACTGTATTTATTGTAAAACACTCTCTAATAGTAAATATTGGGATGCTCCTGTATCCCTCAAAATTTTAACATCATGCCACAAACCATTAGAACACTTTAATTTTCCATTTGATATAAAATCTCCAAAATTATTTATAGCAAGTGCTTTTTTTTCCCCCATTATTTTTGCTACACATTTGGTTTTCCTCCCATCACACTGTGAGTGCCATAGGCCTCTTTTCTGGGTGAAGAAACCAACAAGTCTTTACAACATGACCCTTCCTATGGCAGTAGGAACACTGTTTCAACTCTGGGTGAGGCTTATTACTAGTGTGATCCTCTTTGGGTTTCACATTACTCTCTCTACCACCTGGAACCTTTGAAAAAGTGTTTCCTTGACCTGCTGTTGGGTACATGTGGGACCCAAATCTGACGGAGGAGTTTAGTGCTTGACCGGATCCTTGTCTATTTGTATGAATTTTATTTTTAAAAGTTACTGTATGAATCAATTCATATTCATCTGCCAATTTAGCCAACTCATAAATATCTCAAGGTAATTTCTCTGCCAAATATAAAGCCACATTAGTAGGTATCAAAGATAAAAATTCTTCTATCAAGAGTAAATTTTTAAGAGTCCAGATCCCTAATTTTTTCAGCATCTAACCATTTATTAAATATATTATATTTTTCTTGTGCAAATTCTACCAAAGTTTGACCTGGGTCTCATCTCAGTTGTCTAAACTTTTGCCTATAAGCTTTAGGAACAAGTTGATAAGCAGTAAGGATGGCTGCCTTTACTTTGTCATAGTCAAAACTGTCACTCAAAGGCATAGCTGCTAATATCTTCTGTGCCTTTCCCACCAAGTGACCTGGAAGAAGAGGCCATGTATTTCAGGCCATGTCATACTCTGCCATTTTTTCAAAAATGAGTGAAGAACTGGTTAACTGGTCTAGGTCAGTCCCACAGAATAGAGGAAACGTGATATTTTTGTTAACCTTTAACTGCCCAGGTGTTCCTAAGTCAACCACACCGGTATTTTCTGATCTAATTCCCAATTCTGCTTGCCTAATCTCTGATTCTCATTTTTTTTTCTGAACTTGCTCCACTTCTAACCTCTTCATAGCTAGTTCTTGAGCTTGTTCTGCTACCAACTTTCTCTGGGCTTGTTCTGCTTCAAACTGCAACTACTTTAGTTCCAATTCTGCCTGCCACTGCGTCTGAGTCTCCACATTTCCTGTAGCTACAACATTTGCACCACTGGTGGACGGTGACTGCTTTAATATTTCCTGTGGGAGAATTTGCTCATCTACCAAGTGCATCATTATCTATCTTAGCAGTTCCGTCCTCACCATTCCCATGTGCAATAATAGCCCATAGTTCTTGTCAACAGCCACTAGGCTACTTTTCGCCGCTTTCAAATAAGAAGGTTTTCCTCAGTACTAGGATTGTCAACAATTTGTTGTGCTACTGAATCCATTTTTTGTATGTTGAGTTACAGCAGACTCAAACACAAAATTTAAGCTTCAGCACCACTTTTCTCTTGTATCTGAAAATTAATTTGGAAAAACTGACGGGAGACAGTGCTTAGTTCATTTGACTGCCCTGTCAACGGGTAATTTTTTGCACTCGAGAACACAGCAATTTTTAACACTTTTAGTAAAAATTAATAAAATCTACACAAATAATGTAATAAAATACATACTCATATTATACCAATGTTAGAAAATGTAAATTTTTACACAAGTTTATTTAACTAAAGCACCATAAATCTGTCGAGTCGAGAGCGTGTCACATGAGGCTAGCTAAGCACTGACACATCTATTAAGTGCATCATTGCAAGAAGCAATTATTATGTATGTAGTAATGTGATAACTTTGTCGTACTGAGAGCCGAGTGAACACCTGTGCTGTAGCATCTAGAAGCAATGGGTTGCCACGTAAGACACTTTTGCCTTTATTTCAATTTTCACTAATATTGAAGCCTAAAATTGGCCAAATGTTTTCTAGTTTATTCGGAACCTCTTTGTAGGGAATGTCTCCACAGTGATGGTAGGGCTGTGTAAAGTCCGGCACTTCGGTACATTAAGACTACATTTAAATAGAGACCTGTGTAAGTGTTGTATATTTACGGACATGCTCACATGTGCATTTTCTTTCAATATTAGCAAATACTAATATATATATAGTTCGTTGAGAATTGTATAAATCCTCCAAACGGTACCTTCCTTAGGCAGCATTAAATTCATTGGTATGAAATCGTACATGGCAATTATTATTAAAATTGTATGTAGCAAAAGTGCAGATCCGTCGAGAAATCTTCCCTGGTTATATTTGGTACAAAACTGTACTTAATGTGTGTGTGTTACTCTGTACAACATTCACATATTTTCATGACAAACGTATATACAGTGTAGTCATATAGTACCTAGATGGTTTGGGTAGGTTTACTCTCATTATGTACGGAAATGTACAGATATTGTATATTGATAATCATCTAATAACAGTCCTTTCCTGCCTCAGGACTATTAAGTCATTTTTACCCACCTAGAAAGATTGCAGACGGCCCAAGCTGTAATTTAAGTTAAGAAGGAACTTATTTTATACGCAGTCTTGCGTAATATTGGACTGCAAAGGGGTAAATTATGACAGATTACGAAACAAAATAAAATGGCGCCCGGGCAGACAGCGACTCATCCGGGACTTGGTGGGACGCGGTGACACATGCCTTAGGCACATACAACGTGAGAGGTGAGTGGAAGTGGCTCAGGTGCAAAGCCAATCAGCGACGAGCTTTCTGTGACATCATCGGCGGGCACAAAGCCCGCCCCAGGGAGCGGAGCCCTGCTCAGTTTTTAGCCAGACTTCGGACGGGGAGGTCGTGACCTTGGGCGCTGTCACGACAATCGGCAGATTGGATCTTAAGTGACGAGTCGAGACCAGAAGAGAGGCAATATGACTTCGGCCATACCTGAGGCGCCAATCAATGCGAATAAAGTGATCGTCGAAGCCTAGTGACAGTCCCGACCAGTGAACGTCGGCAGCAGTTACGACCTGGTGTGTGTGAATGCACAAGGAGTAGCTGTTGAAGAGGCCAGTGAAGACACAACAGAGGTCACGGTAAGCAAGTGCTCCTTTGATTTTCACTTGTGAAAAGGCAAGTGGAATTGGACTGTGACCCTAGAAAGGGATTGTTTTATTTATGCCAACGAAGAGGCTGTGGATTCTAGAGTATCGATGTTAAACAATTCCATAGTAGCCAGTGAAGTGTGTGTGCTAGGGCAGCAGAATTTAATCTCTGGTTACCTTATAAAGACTGAATACACTGAAAAGACTGTGATGGCGCCCTGTATCGAAACTGGTCCAACTAGTAAAATCGGCATTGGTGATATCTTCTTCCATGGCAGTGAATTTGTGCACTGGACATTGACATAAGGCTACAAGGAGAAAGTACATCCCGCGGAGCGACAAGAGCCAAGGGAGATTCAGTGTTGACACGAGCGTTGGACGCCCCGTAGAACGCGTCCCTCTGGTACGTCGAGATGTTTGGTGGTATATATAATATATATATAATATATATATATAATATATATATATAATTATATATATATTTATATATATATAATATATATTATATATAATATATATATATATATATTTATATATATATAATATATATATATATATATATTATATATATATATTATATATATAATATATATATTATATATATATATATATTATATATATAATATATATATATATATATATATATAATACATATATATATATATATATTTATATATATATATTTATATATATTTATATATATATATTTATATATATATATTTATATATATATATTTATATATATATATTTATATATATATATTTATATATATATATATATTTATATATATTTATATATATATATTTATATATATATATTTATATATTTATATATATATATTTATATATATATATTTATATATATATATATTTATATATATATATTATATATTATATATATATTATATATATATATTATATATAAAATATGTATATTATATTTATATATATATAATATATATACACTATATATATACAAGCACTATATATGTATGTATATATATGCGAACAAGCCTGAATGGTCCCCAGGACAATATGCAACTGATAGTTATATAGTTATATATATATATATATATATATATATATATATATATATATATATATATATATATATATGTATGTCGTACCTAGTAGCCAGAACAGACTTCTCAGCCTACTATGCAAGGCCCGATTTGCCTAATAAGCCAAGTTTTCATGAATTAATTGTTTTTCGACTACCTAACCTACCTAACCTAACATACCTTTTTGGGCTACCTAACCAAACCTAACCTATAAAGATAGGTTAGGTTAGGTTAGGTAGAGTTGGTTAGGTTCGGTCATATGTTATACTCAAAATTCTGTCAGTTGAAATGTAACCAATCACAGGCAAGTAGGCCTCTGACGTCATGCCAGACAGAGGAGCATCAAGCATGCTCCCAGCAGCCTCAGTTATCCTCACAGACCCAGAGTAGGTGGACCTCGGCTGGCCAGTTATACACCTGTTTGCCTCACTCAATAAATATATACAGAAGCGACTACTGTGTCTACATTCTACCCGAACAAGGCGAACGAATACTGGTAGCAGCAGTGGGATCCAGAAATTTTTTTCTGGAAGCAAAAGTTCCAGTACCCAGCATCGCCTCGTGTTCCAGCCAAAACCGCCGCCACCGCCACCGCCATAAGCCGCCATCCTGCCACCCACGCATCAAATATTGTGCCAGACCGGGGTCCTGCCATCAACCACTACTCCAGGCCAACGTTTCAGAAGTAAGGGTCAATATTTTCCTGTGAGAACGCTCACTCATCAGTGAGGAGGAAGGAAGCTTCCCGCGCCAGCCATTTTTGAACCTCGCGCCACCACGTGGGAACCACCTATTACACCCACCACCACCACCACCGCCACCCAAGCTGACAGTATCAAGCTTCGTGAGGGTGCAAGCTACTGCAATCGTCGTCAGCCATCGTCGCAAGTATCAACTGGTTATTCCATCGTCGCAATATTGTCGTCGTCAGAATTTATCTTCGTGCTTCTAGCGTGAACAGTGTGGGGTCCCCGAGTCTCGCGCCACCGCCGCCAGGAGCGCTGCCGTCGCATCCAGTTTGTAAACACGCCTCACATGGGCCTCTTCAGATCTTCACGACGCTTCTCCTACTTTGGCTACTGGTGATCCTCATAAATTACAACCCTGAGATAAGTAATTGCTAGTTGAGAACAACGTGCCAAGTGTTAAAAAGTGACTTATGTAATAATTCCCATAATATCCTGTGAATTAACCATTCAGTGACTTGTTAAATATTGGAGCTGGTTCAGTACTGCACTCCCCACAGTTTTCCTGTGTGATTTCAACATTCCTGCTTCTTACAGTAATTTCATTGAATTTTAATTGTTCTCCTAGAGTGTTATTGGTAAATTCAAATTCCAGTGAATTAAGAAATCCTTGTTTTAGTAGCAGTTAAGGATTTGTGCAATATAATTTTTTTTAATTTCTCCAGACCTAACTTGAAATTTATCCTTTAAGCATTTTATTTTAAACTTTTACCATAGGAGTTATATACATTCCTGTGTCCAGTTTATGTGCTACATCCATATTTCTTGCATTGCCACTTGTTGTGTTGAATCTTTTTAATGAAATTTTGCAATTGCATTTCCCAGTTTTTATTCTAAATTGCTGTGCTTAGTCTGGTTTAATTAATTTACATACATCTAATTCCAGTCATTTTTTTAATGAAAGATTGCTAAATTTAGTTTACAATTGCTTGTTCTTGATTATTTTCTTGCCTAGCCCAATTTAATAATTTTATTTCTGCCATTTTTACTTTAGCCAAGTTGATATTTTTTGTGTTTATTTTTGTGTATACTATTTCTGATGCCAGGTGCACTTAATTATAATCTGCGTTCAAATATTACTTCCACGGCTGTGACAATGCCTACCACTGTTGAAACCCCTTCAGAATCAATGGGAACAGTTGCTCGTCCCAATGGCCAGAGATCAGCTCAGGAAATGGCTATTCCTCTTTTTGCTGGGGAATCGCGTTTATTAGAATCATGGTTTAGTAAGGTTGAAGCGAAAACAGTTGCACGTTTTTCTAAGCCTACTGATGCCGAATACTTAGCAATTGCACGGTCAGCCGTGGACACAACCAAAGGTGATGCACGTTTTGTTGTTGATGAGAAAGCCATTGTTAGCCTCCAGTCTTGGCCTGAATTTAAGGATTTCTTTCGCCGTCGCTTTGTTAATAAAGGAGACCTTGACCCATATAGGTTAGTCAAGAAAATTGCCAATGCCACCATGCAGCCTGGTGAATCGTTTAATGCGTTTACTAGCCGTCTCGATCAGTATCTGTATGCCTTAGTTTCTGCTATGAATAATTCAACTTGGTTAGATAAAGACAATAATCTGTCCCCTGAGGCTATGGCCAAAATGATAGCATTTGGTACTTTAATGCATTTTGCCCCCGAGCATACAAAACCAATCGTTGAGCAACAAAATTTTGGTGTTAAACATGAAATTGGTGAAGTATTTGAGGCTATTAACAATGCCGCAGATAAACTAGCTCCCCGAAGTGCTCAACTGTTGCCACCCTCTGATGCTGTAAATGTAGTTACAAGTTCTCAGCATCCTCCCACAAATTCTCAAAACTCTTGGTCGCAGAAGCATACCCATGCTCGTAGCCCCCAGTCAAATTCGCCGCCTCATAAAATGCCGAAACGCCATAGTCCCCAACCATCCACTCCCTCATGTTGGCATTGTGGTAAGAGTAACCACCTTGCAAGGGACTGTTGGTCCGCCCCTAGATCATCACCTCCTAGACAATTCTCTCGGCCCCCTCATCAATCTAATCATTCTAGGCTTCCATATTGCACGTACCATAAACAAGTTGGTCACCACACTGCGGATTGTAGAGCTAGGCAAAGGACATCTCCACCTCGTAACTCCCATGGTCAGTCTTGGCGAGGCTCACAGCGTCCAAGACATTATCAGAACTCTCGTAATTACAACTCCCAGCCCAGCTATAATGCAACTTCAAATTATAATGCTCAGTCACAGAATGCTGGAGCTCAGAATGTTCACTCCATGTCGTCGGGAAACCCCCAAGGCCATCCGCTAACCAATTCAAGCTAGCCAATCCTAGTGCCCTCCCTGTGTATTCAGTAGCTACCCAAAATAGATTTGGACACTTGACAGAGGAGGACACTGACTCTAGACCAGTTGTAGATGTTGACGGATCCACAGTAAATTTGACACAAACAAGACACAGATATCCCAGACAACATAAGTCAAAAATAGTAACTTGTCCAGTCTCAAGTGATGGTCCCCTTGTCTCAGCCATTGTACATGGTAGAGTTTTAAAAGTTTTTCTTGACTCAGGTGCGAAAATTAATATTGTCAAGCCCTCAGCTCTTAGAGACATTGAAAGTAAGCACCCTACTATTTTAAAACAGTCACACATACCTTTTCTAAGTGGTATTTCAGGAAATAAAGTAAAAGTTCAGGGTGAAATTGACCTCCCACTCAAGTTCAATGATGTCACATTGTCTATAACATGTTTAGTTGTTGACATTATTCATTTTCCTGGAGACATTCTCTTAGGTCTGTACACCATGATTGATGAAAATATTGCATTGTTTCCCCATCGTTGGAACATAAGTATCAAAGACCATGTCATACCCTTGTGTAGCATGTATCGACAGGGCCACGAGTTCAACCTTCAATCAGATTATGTTAATTTTGTTGACACCCGCCTTGCAAGCGTAGGTTTGTCAGATCATTGTCGTGGTAGCATACCCGAGAAAACAGGCACTCGATTGAAGCATAGTAGTTGTGCAGTTGTTAAGGAGAATGAGTATCGGGACTTTCTGGAAGGGGACGCCCTAACGGATTCTCGTTGTCTCGCTCGCCTGGCAGCTTCCATCTCTGAAGTCAGTGGTTCCACGGCTACTGACACTGTGTTACACCCTCATTCTCTCACCAGAATAAGAGTTAAGGTTCAGGGAGTGCCTGAGTTGTCGG